AGGACGGAGCACGTGGTGTCAAATCCCGGGTTTCCTAAGGAGTGGAATTATGCCCGTAAGTTTTTATTTGTTTTATTTTAAAAACGGCTTCTCGTTGTCCCCTTCTGGTGATCTGATTGTTCTTCTTTTTCCCTCTCTATTTTGTTCCCCGAGAAGGCACCTCCTCCGCTAGTCGCTGACATTCGTGAGTGGGTGAGCCAGGTTTTGCCCCATACGATGGGGATTTGTGAATGGTCACTGTTCCACGAGAGATTCGGGCGTGGACCTTCTGCTGGTGAGTCATCTCGTCTTGCCCTTGGTCACTTCGCCCTTTGTTCTGTATTTTCCTCTTTGGTTTAAGCTTCTCTTACTGGTGGGTCACCGGATCACGAGGAGGGCGAGGGCTCCCATACCTGTTTTCCATCTGTCGAGTCTCGCGACTGGACCTGCACCGACTGCGGCTGCAAGTGAGAGCGTTCAGGCTGCTGCTACTATACAGACTACGACCCCTCCCGGACTCGACCGTCATTAGGTCGCTCGTCAAGCAGAAGCTCTGATTCCCGCAGCTCATTTGGTGGACGAATCGCCTCAGGACGACGACGACGAAGAGGCTCCGTTAAAGAGGCGGAGAGTAAGGGCTGATGGGGTACCCAAAACCGAGGGGCCTTAGAAGGACGAGCTCGTGTTAGCAGTGTATGAGCCTGCTGGTGATGCCAATTTAGATGAGGAGACCGTATCCCCCTCGGGCGTGGAGATGGTGCTTGTTTCTAGCGTGGGGGAGTTTGTCGTGGTAGAGGGCAGAGCCCGAAGGCCGCTGCGATCATTCCGATTGGTCCATCGACTTCACAACGGGCCCGTACTTCCTCTTCGGCCAGCGAGAGGGTAAAGGGTGTAGTTATAGATGACTATGAATCCGGTTCAGATATTGACCCCGAGGACATAAGCATGTTTGAGGCGGGGTTCACTCGGGCGGAGGAGGGAACAAATAATTCCTCCCGCGTGATCGAGATATCTCCGGATTGCGATTTCTTGGAGGAAACGTGAGCCTGGTGCCCCAATTTGCCCTTCTTTGTTCCGCTATTGAAAGCAGGGCTCTTTAGGAGATCAGTGATGCTGGCCTATCGCGGGGCATAGCCGGAGTGGCTTTGAGGGTGAGTTCTTTATTGCTTTCTTCGCTTTACGTCTTCCACTCTTGCTGACTTTCTCTTTCTGTTCTCTCTTCTTTCTTCAGACTTTTATTTTGGAGACTGAGAGTATCTGCCGTGAGGGCTACCGCTTTTCAAAAAATGGTTTCGAAATACCACCGATACCGTGACAAGTGCCACGAGATGCATGCATGACTCAGCGCGGGCGGCAATCCTCAGTCCCTTAGGGAGGAGTTGGAGCGGAAGGACGAGGACCTGATGCGGTCCATTGGCAGATGCAGTGAACTCGAGGGGCTGCTTAGGGCTAAAGAAAAAGAGCTCGAGGTGGGCAAGAGGGTTGCGGCTGAGTGTGTTAATCTTCAAGCAAAGGTGGTGGCCCTGCGGGTAGAGCTTGAGTAGAGTGTCGTTAGAGTCACCGGTTTAAGTGTTGAATTGAAGGAGAAGGTGATCGAGTTGGAAAGGAAGGCGACCGAGCTAGAGAGGGCTGAGGGAGCCTGATTAGCGGCTTTGGCGAGGGCTGCGGCGCTGGAAAATTCTATCCGCGTTCTCAGGTCTGAACGTGCAACTGAGATAGAAACGGCCGCTCTGAGGGAGGCGCGACTTGATGAGCAGATTGGCAGTCTTGAGGGAGACGTCTCGAACCTGGGTGATCAAATTGCTGCTCTCGAGGCTTAGAGGGCGTAATTGTTGGCTTCAACTCCTACATCCGCCTCTGTTGCCGTTCCTCGCCCTTTGTACGAGATGTGGATTCATGCTGAGGCTCAGTGAGATATATATAAGAGCTTGTGGGCAGCGAGAGTGTTCCTGAAGCCGCTTTCGAAGAAGCTCGTGTTAAAACGTGTGAGGCCCGTCTTTCCTGCGGCTATGACCCAGCGACACCGGAGGCCGATGGAAACGATGAAGCCGAGGACGGGCTTACCTTCGATGATGAACATTCTGATGGAGAGGGTGACTGTGGAGGTGAAGCCGCCAAACCAAGCAGGGAGAGGGATGACGGCGTGGATAGGGATAATGCTGAGTGAAGCTTTTGTACTTAATTTTTCCTCTTGTATTTAGTTTTTCTTTACTCAGTTAGTTGGGTAGGGGCCCCTTTTGCCCTTTTTAAGACATTATTTTTCCTTTGAATGGAACAGTTGATTTGTCCTTAGTTGTACGTATTTGGCCTTTCCTTCTCTTTTCTTTTCGAATTTCTAAGATCTTCTTGCATTAAGTCTCTGACTTTCGGTATTTAATTCGACCGAGTTCGAACAGACTTGTTAATTCGAGCGAGAACGAATGTAGATTTGTTAATTCGAGCGAGGTCGAATGTAGATTTGTTAATTCGAGCGAGGTCGAATTTAGATTTGTTAATTCGAGCGAGGCTGAATTTAGATTTGTTGATTCAAGCGAGGTCGAATTTGTCTTGCTGTAAATTCGAGCAAGGTCGAATGTAGACTTGTTGTAAATTCGAGCGAGGTCGAATTTAGACTTGTTAATTTGAGCGAGGTCGAATTTGTCTTGCTGTAAATTCGAGCGAGGTCGAATGTAGACTTGTTGTAAATTCGAGCGAGGTCGAATTTAGACTTGTTGATTGGAGCGAGGTCGAACTTGTCTTACGTTAGCGTGATGCGTAAACTCGGTGGAGTTGCATAAGAATTCCGTATGTTGCTTCGCTTACTCATTAATTGGAGAATACATGTTGTTGTACGGTCTGTGCATACATTCGAAGGAATCCCAGTCTATCTTGTCCCTTCATCGCTTGGCCTGGAGAGGTAGTTGATAGGCGGGCGATGAATGTCTCGCTCAAGCTTTGGGGCATCTCAATGTATGTACGAGATTGAATTTTGGCTAGTTGTGTCGTTGCATAGTGACTTTGGCGAGCACGTGGGTGAGTTTCACGCACTCGTGTTCTGTCTGAATGTTGGAGAGATTCATATATTTTCCGGGCTGGTGACCCAGTCCCGATCTATGCAGACTTTTCCTTTATGGCGTTGAGTACCAACTTATTGGGGGGGGGGGGGGTTTCGCTCGACCGTTGCTTGCAGGATGATATGACACGGAGCATTTTCTTGGTGTGCTATTTTGATGGCGTTTGTTCCCTGTTCGCGTGTCGGTGAGTATGCCCATGTTCCTGTCCCACTCTGAAAAGAAATAGCAAGTTAGAGCCAAACGAAATCATTTGTAACCTCGACTGATTGGTTGATGAGTGGGAGGGAGCGACCGTGTTCCCTTCTTTGGCTATGTTTCGTAGCTGCTATTATTCGTTGAGCTAATATTCACCGAACTCGGATGACATCTTGTGGGTCTTTGGCTTGGTGTTTTTGCTTTGAGTACATAGTCCCCTACCTTGAGTAGTCTGACTTTGGCTTTTTTGTGCTAGCTTCAGATCCGATCTCAGCCTCGCACTTAGCTTCGACGTTAGTCGAATCTGGGCACCTTGTGGGCTGATGGCTTACTTCGCCCGTTGGGATCTTCGAGTTCAAGTCCCAATCCGATTCAATCCCGGGTGCATGAAGATACGGAAACATAGGCCGCACCACAAGCACACGAGCGAAAGGATGAAGTTACAACGAACAGGAAGTAGAACTAGAACCGAGTTTAAATCTAGAGAAATTAAACCTTTGGCTAGGAAATCCCCACTGACGGCGCCAAATTGTTTGACGAAAAAGTTTCAAGCATTTTTATTAAACTAATTAAATAAGAAGATATGGGGTAAATCCTAGCCAGAGATAATTTACTCTAGATCTGAGATAGGAGACAAGAATAAACAAGCATAGCTGAATGTAGAATTTAATTACAGTCGCTGGATTTCATAATATAAAGTAAGGAAGATGGCTTCAGTAATATCAAATGATGATGAAGAATATATAAAGGGAAAGAATCACCATTCTTGAACAAGATTAAACTTCATACGTTTGATAAAGTTGAACTCTAAATAAAATATCAGGATCCCGAGATTTATCCTCCTTTGGGCGAAGAGCTTAGGAGGATGAAACCCCCTATCTTTCAGAGGGATGTATCTGTATATATGTGTTTCCATCATCCCCTTCTTCTTATTTTCTCTCATGATATTTATATAAAACACTTCTAGAATATTTCCCTGAAATGTCTAAGTGTCGAACTAGTCGTTCGGGCCGAACTGAGTGCTCGACATCGACCGTAGCTGAGTCGTTCGCTGATATATTGCTTCCGGTACGTGACTTCGGCTTGGTTGACTCGTGGTCGTCTTTCCTTAAGTAGAATTCCTTTGATCAGATTTTGACCTATACATTACCAGCAACAATGCAAAGCTACAAGCTATAAGCAGTAAAATACTTCATCCGTTTCAATTTAAATGATGTAGTTTGACTTGGCATAAAGTTTAAGGAAAAAAAAAAGACTTTCGAAACATGTACTCCTAAAAGCTTATCAGGTAAAAGCTTTGCGGGGTCATAGTAATATTTTTTTAACTATAAAAACTCTCATTAAGGGTAAAGTGGGTAAAATAAAAAGATTAAACTTAAATTATTTCAAATATAAAATATGTCATTCTTTTTTTAAACGGACTAATAATAACGCTTTGCCGGGAAGAATGTTGGCCAACATATACCTCATTGACGTTTTAAATTTTTACTCCTCCTAGTTCTAAAGAGTTAATAGGTCAATAGCTTTATTACTACTGGTTCAAAATGGACTAATTTCTTTTTCCTTTTCAAAATCTAGAAAGTGGTGTCGCAATAAATAAAAGCAGTAAAATAAACCGAAAAAAGAAGCTACAGTATAGTAAAGGAACAGCTTTTAGCCACCCAAACTAACTGAAACGGTCAGTGTACGAAATACCGAAAGTACCCTCTGGTCCACCTTCTATCTCTGCATAGTGCATACTGCACAAGTTTACAGTAGAATTTCGGAAAATTATTTGACATGCCACTGTACACGTTGGCTCTTCTCTATTGAACTGCAATGAATGTGATGGCGCGTTTATCACCTCACCCCTATACATTAATGACATTTACTACTTTGCCATTCACCTCAACTCTTCTTCTCTTATCCCAAGAAAACCAAAAACACTCTCTCTGTTGTTTTTTCTGGGCTTGCTTCAATGGGTTATGCGGATTTCTCGGCCTCATTTCAAATCTCGTGAATTTCAAAGCTCATTTTTTGCTTTGCTTCTTCTTCAATCCACAGGTTTCCTGTGTTTTCATGTGTCTGTTTTCTACCTCATTTCTTTCAAATTTTGTCGTTTTTTTTCGTTTTTTTATTATTTTTATATGATAAAGTATTTGTTTAGGATTTTCACGCATTTATTTATGTATTTAATTTGAACTGAAAGATTCGTCCTATATAAAATATTGTTTTGGGCTTAGTGAAAGGGTTACACTTTTCAAAGTTGACTGTTGCTTGTTTTCTTTGTATACACAGGTATGTTTTTTTTTTTTTTCTCATTCCTTTTATTTTCCGTTGTTTCAGTGCTTGCTTTTATTTACAGGTGAAAATGGGGTTTTGATATTTTTTAGCTCTTTTGTCTCAGTCAAAAGATACTACTACAATGTACTACATTTTGCATTTTGGCTTTTTCTATGTTTGATTTCTTCTATACATTCAGGTTTAAACTCGCGTTACTTACAGTAATAGATGATAATTTTTTTTCCTTTTTCGTTCTTTCTAGATTTTCAGTTTTGCAAACTTTATACTATTGCTTGTTTTATCTTCCTGTACTGTACATACACAAAAGTTAGATTCTTTAATTCATTATGAAGCACTAGAAAAGACTTAATTTTTATTTTTTGTTCTTGTTGAATTTTAGGTAAACACAACAGCATTGTTTTGTGGGCCATTAGAAAATCTTTAGCTGCGTAAGCGTTTTGATACTTTTTGAGTGATGGATGGGCGACGGCATTCAGTTGATGTTCCTATATCGAGAGCGCTGGTTGCACTTAGAAGAGTGAAGTCACTTAGGGATCCAACCACTAATTCGATAAGCAAGTTCTCCGCAATGGTTGATAAGATGAATTGGGATACAAATTCAGGTAATGCTATTACTTTGGGATTTGAGGATAGACAGGAAGTAGGGTATAATGATGACAGCGCTCTGCGGCCAAATGGCTCCGTTTTGTATGCCAACGGGGATGAATATGTAGGTGGTCAGGTACTTAACTGCAATATGGGGAATTGCAAATCGCCGTTGGTTTCCCCTCAAATGGATCATTGGAACGATAATGTTGAATTGTGTAATGTACGACAACCAACTGACATAGAAAGAGGAAATAAATCATCAAGTAAAAGGTTAGGTCACTCTTATGGGGATAAAGGAATGGCAATGGCTTGTACAACACCTTCCAACGCCTGGGAGGAGGGCATTGGTTCAAGTAAAGAATCAAATGACGGAGCAGTGCAGGCCAAAGATGTAGTTTATTATGGAACAAAGAAGAAATGCAAACATAGAAAACATACTAGATCTTCTAGAACAGCAGCTGGTGATGTTTTGAGTCGTGTAGGTAGTCCCTACTTTTCTGTAAGTGATGCTCCAAACGGAAGCTCAAACCATGCCATTTCACTGTATGGAAATGAAGATGTTGACGATGTGGAATCTGATCCTGGTGGATGTGGAATTAGCTCCTGCTGGTTAGGCACCCCTAGGTTTAGAGAATCAAATCCGCTTACATATATGGAAGAGCGACCTCTTCTGTCTTCAGGAATTGATGAGACACTCTTAGCTGTACAAAGAAGAAGCTGGATGCATGATAACAATGGAGTTGCTTCACATTCAGAAAGTCCTAGAAGTATCAGTCAAAAGTTCAGGCCAAAATCATTCAGTGAAATGGTGGGACAGAATGTAGTAACAAGGTCTCTGTTGAACGCTATCTCAAGTGAGCGGATTAATCCATTCTACTTGTTTCATGGTCCTCGTGGTACAGGAAAAACATGCGCATCAAGAATTTTTGCTGCCGCATTGAACTGTCTTTCTCCTGATGCTGAGAGACCATGTGGCCTCTGCAGAGATTGTGTTCTGTACTTCTCAGGAAGAAGCAAGGATGTTAAAGAAGTGGATTCCTTGAAAATCAATAGAATGGAGAGAATTAGATTGCTTATCAAGAATGCTGTGTCGCCTCCAGTTTCTTCCAAATTTAAGGTTTTTATTATAGATGAGTGCCACTTATTGCGAGAGGAAACATGGACAAGTATTTTAAATCACCTGGAAGAGCTATCTCGGCATGTGATCTTCATAATGATCACCCCTGACCTTGAGAAGCTGCCTCGTACTGCAGTATCACGGTCCCAGAAGTACCATTTTTCCAAGATAAAAGAAGTCGATATTTCGAACAGGTTACGCGAAATTTGTGAGGATGAAGGAATCACTTTTGATCAGGATGCTTTAGATTTCATTGCTTGTAAATCAAATGGCTCACTTCGAGATGGGGAGATAATGCTCGAGCAGCTAAGTTTGCTTGGGAAAAGAATAACAACACCATTGGTGTATGAGCTAGTAAGTGTTCATTTGTGACTTTCATGTGTTTCTTTTTATATTTCCTTGTTGCATAAATGCCAGGAGAAGTAATGTCATCCTTGCATCGTCTCTGCAGATTGGAGCTGTCTCTGATGATGAGTTGCTGGAGTTGCTGCATCTGGCGTTGTCATCCGACACTTCAAATACAGTTAAAAGAGCCAGAGAGCTAATGAGATCAAGAATAGATCCCATGCAACTAATATCGCAGCTAGCAAATCTAATAATGGACATTCTTGCTGGAAAATGTCAAATAAGTGCTTGTGAAGGTAAAGGCGGGGTATTCTGTGGACCCCTTTGTAAGTATTAGGTTCTATTAGTTTGTTCTTTTATATGTTGCAAAACATATTTTGCCAATTTCGCTGTCATACTAGCTTCTGCATGTTGTAAATCAAGAATTTCTTTGGATGATGACTAATTACTCCAGTGGTATCAGCTGGGAGTGGTGGCCACTGATGTGGTGTGGATGGTTTAGTCACTATCCTCATTTCGTTTGTCCGCGTGGCTTTGGGAAATTGTCCTTTACACTGAATCATGTATTTTCATGTGTACTAGCTCAAAATCATCTCTAAGGTCGCTGCGGCTTCATTAGTTTCGTTTAAGTCATTTTAGAGAACCTATTTCATGTTTCTAGTTTTGTGACCAATACTGACATTTATGTTGCAAGTACCATACTCATTTATCGTTATATTAATTTTTCCATCCAGAATCACTTGGCAAATGTAGACATAGTGACCGTTGGTAAAAAAAGGTTTTTGAGGAGAGCTCAAGCGTAAATCTACCCCATTATGCCAATTCTAATAGCGACCTCATAGTGCACTTTTTGACTAACATCTTTTCGGTGGACCACTTGCTACCTTAAAACTACTTTAGGGAATTTAGCAGATAAACGTTATTAAATATGTAAGAACCGCATATATATATATATATATATATATATATATATATATATATATATATATATATATATATATATATATATCTGCTTTAGTTCTATCTGTTTTCCTTATTCTTCGGAGTTGTAATCTTTGTTTTGCTGCTTGAGTTCATCTTTCTTTTGCTCTGTTTTCATATGATTTATTGCTCTTATACTCATCTTTACTATATGTGATGCGTATAAGTAAGACTGGTTTATCTAAAAAGATTGTCTTTTTACTACTGTATATATAGCTGAAGCCGAGAAACAGCAACTTAGTCATGCACTCAAAGTACTCTCTGAGACGGAAAAACAATTGAGGATGTCAAAAAATCAAACAACATGGCTGACTGCTGCACTTCTGCAGTTAAGCTCAGTGGGAGCTTTAGTCGACGCCAAAGATGGAAATTCGTGCATGAGAACGGTATACCAACAAGGTTGGTATGATTAGCACATTCTACACTGCTTGTTATCTTGGACAAAGTTAATTTTTATGTTCAAGAAGTTCACTGCAGTGGAATTTTGTTTCTAATGTGTCAGATCCTGATGGTAATCCGTGTAGTACATCATCAACAAGTGAGAGTTTGAAGCACCTTTCAACTTGCGCATGTGAAAGCATTGAATCTTGCAAAAGAGGAATGCAGGATGATAAAGAAACTCTGTCATCTGTATGGAATAAAGCTATTGAAATGTGCGAATCCAATTCACTTGCAAACTTTTTGAGAAGACAAGGGAAGTTGTCATCAATTCGTCTTAAACAAGGTATCAGCTTCCATGCTTTTTACATGTTTATTGCATCATATCTTCAGCTTTGCACATCTCTGTGAATACCTAGGTCTATCTCTGCTTGATTAAATTGTCACCTTTCCTTCCATACTTGAAATACTGAGCTGTGCAAAGCGCCTTTGATCTGACGAAGTTGAAATAGGGGGACAACGTTTGAATTGGAGATCTACACTGATTATTTTAATAATAATAAAAAATAGTGTTGGACTTCTAAATCTTTACAAGATAAAGCGAGTTTGTCCTTCTATACTCTAAGCAACAAATATCATAGATTCGCATGGAACAAGCTCAGGTTGACCTATTTCCTCTCATTACTCCCACCAGGATATGCTCCCAAGGTACACAATGTGCTTTCCGTGCGTATACTTTTATATTTCATCTGTCCTTTTTAACTACATATTCAAGTTCTTGGCACCTTCAAGCCTCCTTCACCTAAATCTTGATTTTTAGGTTAGATCTATTTGAGCATAAAATTAAGAGTAGTCACATTTCAGAGAGTGCATTTACAAAATTTTCAAAGCATGTCTCCACACAAGCTCCATACAATTCCCCCTTTCTCCCCAACATATTGAGCTTATGTTCCAAACCCTGCATGCAAATAAAATATCTAAATGGACTTTTGAGAATATCTTACCAAAGGAACTGTAGTTTCCATTATGAGGACTGCGGATTAATAAACTTTTGTACTAATTCAAAATCTGCATGCTGGAGTCCAACGGTAGAGGACAATGAAAAGATGTATTGGCACCAAAGCAGCTATATTTTGAGTATTGAGTTCCTTGTAGTTCAACTTTTTGTTCCTCTTTGATTGTTTCTCCAACTTCTTATTTTCAAATTGCTTAATCCAAGCAAACCAGATGCTTTCTTAGTCTGTTGAATGTTGCCTTACACTGTTAAACTGTTCTCTTTCTGTCATAAATATCTTGCAATCCATGTTCCAGGTTTGGCAGTTGCTGAACTGGAGTTCTATTGCCCCAAAGACATATCAAAGGCTGAGAAATCATGGAAACCCATTGCAAATGCGCTTCAGCGAACACTATGCTGCAATGTGGAAATCAGAATCAATCTTGTTCCTGGCTGTTTCCTCAAAAAGTATTCCAGAATGAAAAGGCTGACTTTTAGACTTTTTAATTGTTCACGTGGCAAGCCTTATAAGTCACTTTCCAAGATGGAATGTAAAAGTGATCCATCAGAGAACTCCGATTCTGCTTCTAAAAGAGTCATAATGGTGGATAAAGTTGTTGAAACATGTTCCTCTGAGTGTTTTTCTCAAAACTCTCAAATATGTTGTCATGGCAAAGAAATTATGACCATAAGAACCAGTGACGGAAATGCGCTAAGCATTGGATCAGATACACCTCAGATATTATTGACAGATGGTTCCCTGCTAACACATCAGTTGGAATCTTGTTTGAAAGAGGGAAGTACTTGCAGATGCCGGGATTCATTTACCATAGAGTCGGAGAAAAAACCAAGCTGTTTTCCTAGAACAGTAGGACTTCTAAGGAGATCAAGTTCATCGAATGCGTCTCATATGACTTTTTCGATTACCCAACCACAAAACAATTTGGTTTTATCCATTCCCAGCAAAACACCTTGTCAAAACCACATTCCTTGCAGCAGTTCAAACAATCACTCTTCTGGGAATACAGACTTGTAAGTAATCTTATGTCTTTGGAAAATAATTTTTCTAAAACTTTCTTCTTAATGCAACTTTTTTTTGCTATGAAGTTCCATTTGTGATCTCCCTTATAAAAAGATAATCTTTTTATTGATATCAAATTTCAGTTTGCTTTTACATGTTGCGTGTGAAACCCACAAATTGATGGTACCAAATTCATATTGGTATTGATAACCTAAATCTAACTATGTAATTTGTAATGGGCCAGTATATATTCTTATGGCTGGATCTAGAGCTGTATGATGCCTTGTTGGATGTCTTAGTATGAGAAATCTAGAAGCAAAATGGGGTTAAATGTTTGAGTTCACGTTTATGGGGTTGTTCTTCAATGAAAAAGTAATCTGTAGCAAGCTCTCTATTAGTAATCACTTGCGAGTGCCTAAATATTGTGTGAACGAATCTTTCAGTAACACGAACTGCTCTTTTATCAAGGAAGGTCACTATTTAAGCTCCGTATTATTTTCTGTTCTAATGTAGTTTGATGCTTCTCTTTCTCAACAGTTCCAAGGAGTCAAGGTCGCGATGTTGGAGATCAGCTCTGTTACCCTTCAGGAAGGTAACCATGGTACCTTATAATTTACATTTTATAAATGCATGCTTGTACCAAATTGAATCATGCCTTCTGAAAGGAACGTAGTCCCACGTATTTTCTGGCTTAACCATACAACAACAACAACAACAACCACCCAGTGGATTCCCACAATTGGGGTCCGGGAAGGGTAGGATCTACGCAACCTTACCCCTACCCTGGGAGGGCAGAGAGGCTGTTTCCGATAGACCCTTAGCTAAAGATTCTGGCTTAACCATCTTGATATTTTTTTGCCATTTACATTGCTGATTGAGATCATAATTGAGAAGCATCTGTAAGATCAACATCTCCATAAGTTTGGACTACTAATAGATAATTCTTGATGATGCAGGCTTGGCAGCTGAAACATCAGCATGAAAATCCACACCAAGAGTGGATTCTACCTTATTCTGCTGCAAACTAGCAATGTGGAATAACATGAACAGTGAAAACAATTGAGAGTGCAACATAGCTTTCAGAGATTTACATGATTAAGTATTTTGGTTATACTTAGCACTAACAGAAGTTAACATACATGGTGCTTCACCGTAGCCCTCTCCAGTGAAACTATTGAATTTAACTCTGTACATAGAGCCAGTACTTCTCAATCCCCAAACACAACGAAACGTAGTCTGAATGAAATTGCACTTATGAAGATATATTGATATCCTCTACTATGTTGCTTAACATAGTTTGGCACAATTCAATTGTTCAATGCATAAGTAGTTGTAGCTTCTTCTCTTTGTTCTGTTGGGTGAAATATTATTCTGGACTTTGCCTGTAAATCAAGTGATGGCCCCATGAAACCCGGTATATTCTCGTTTCTGAATATTTTTGGTTCAATAATTTAGGGATTATTAAACTTTCTACTATAGGATTTAGGAATTACAAGTACAACTAGTTAAACGATGTGCTTACTAAGAGTTTTGTATTTATAAGTTGTCCTTTGTAAACAAATACAAGCGTAAGAGTATAATCAAATCCCATTCTAAGGGTGTATTGTGGGCCGGGCCCAGCCCAGGACCGCACCGGGCCTGCGAGCCCATGGGCCTAACGGGCTGGTTCAAACGGTTCGGTCCCAAACGGTCCTAAAAGCCCACTGTGGGCCGGTCCTCTAGGTTGAGACCACGAGCCCGGAACCGTTTAGCCCGGGATCGGCTGGCAGGCCTGGGCTGGTTCAAACGGGCCCAACGGCTATTTTTCAATTTTTTTTTTTTTAAAAAAAATTGGCTAACTGTTAGAAGTTTAAAAACTAGCCGTTGGCCTGCCAATTTAGCCGTTTGGCTTTTAAAAAAATAGCCATTTCGCCCTCAAACTTTGTTTTAACCCCAAACTTTTTATAATTACAGTTATCCCTATTCTCAACTATAAATACCCCCTCATTCTTTCATTTTTACTCACAAAATCATCAATCTCTCTCTAATTTTCTTCTATAATTGCTTACTTTATTATTGCAATTTGTGAAAAATTGTGAAGTTGGTGAATTGAAGTACTCAAGTCTTCAAGTCATCAACGATATACAATTTTCAAGAAGTTGTTCGTCAATTCGGTAAACTCGTTCCAACTCTTAAGTTTTAATATTATAGTTTTTTTTTGTTTTAGTTTGTATAATTATAATTAATATGGCTTTTTCTTTGAAAAAAATGTTTGGTGGTAAGGGAAAATCTAAAATTGGTGAATCTAGTCGCCAAGCTACTACTCCTCCCCCGGCTCCCCAACCCAGACCTGTTACCCGTCCTCCACCTATTATTCTTGATAGTGATAACCCTTGTTTTTAATTTACCGATAGTCAATTTTGCCATGATGTTGCACCATGTCAACAATTAAATGATGAATATATGAATGCTCTTTATCCTAATGAAACTATTGATGAAAATGATGAGGAAAATGATGATTTAGATGAAACGCAACCGGATTTAGATGATACACCTACTAGTCCTGTTGTTAACCCAACTGATAATAATCCAAATGATGCCTCGTCTGACCCTCCTGTAGTACCCCCTACTTTTAATAGACAACCTTCTAAATGCCCCGAAACATCTCTTGTTTGGCACTTTTTTACTCAACTAAGAGAACAAAATAAGGCTAAATGTAAAACTTGTGGGTCTTTGATGGCTCATAAATATACTGGAGACCGTAGCGGTACGGGTAGTTTGACTAGACACATAAAGAAACACCCTAGAGATAAAGCTAGATATCTTCAAATGAAAGCTGCGCAAGAGGGGAGAAGTGTAGGTACTGAGGTTAACCCTAATACCGGGTCAAATCTAGTTCAACCGGGAATTAACACTGTTACCGGTGACATTTTATATTATGATCCAAATAAAGATCGTGAAGAATTGACAAAAATGGTTACTGTTATGTGCTTACCCTATAGTTTTCCTTCTAACCCTCACTTTGTGCATTATATTAGAAGAATTTATAATCCTACTTATAAAGGATGGCCTCGCGCAACCGTAAAGAGCGATATTTATAAATATAAACATGGATATGAAAAGGACATAATACTTCATTACTAGCAATTTCAGAACACTATAGGGTCGTTTGGTTAGAAAGATAGAAAAAATAATTTCTGCATAATTTGTTTTATTGCCCATTTAATACAAAATTCTTGTGTAGCTGATGTATCATTTGGTTGGTGGTATAAATGTTCGTACTAAGTTATATGAGAATTTATATTTTATTTTATACGTATTATATAATGTGAAATAAAAATATATGGATTAGCATAAAATATGTGAATCAGAAATCTTTTGTATCTACATAACTATCCTTATATTATTGTTCATTGAATAACAATTCATTCATATATTCGCTGCATAACTAATTAACTCCTGTATTACATAATTAGCATGTGAACTAAACGACCTTGCCGGTATATTAAGACGCTATAAAAATTAGTAGAATCATAAACTAGTTGAACCCTGCCCTATTCAAAAAGTAAAAAGAAGAAAAAAATAAAGATAATGAAAATTAGCGCGTTTGAATAAAATATAAACTCACGTGTCACGCTAATAAGACAGCCCGCCAAAATCCAAGAGTATACGGTGTCGTTTATCCACTTCAAGCATCTATAAATCCTCCTAAAGATATGATCATCACCATGTTCTGCTCACCGATTCCCTAAACCACAAAACCTAACCCAAACTCCATGAATCATCAAGCCATGGCCCTCTCCGTAGAGAAAACATCATCGGGCCGGTTAGAGATCGAGCTTGCGGTGGTCGAAATGCCTGGGCTCATGGCTTGCCGAGCGGAGTTTGGGCCTTCGCAACCGCTCAAAGGAGCCCGTATCACGGGCTCTCTTCATATGACCATTCAAACCGCCGTGCTTATTGAGACACTCACCGCCCTAGGCTAGGCGCCACCGCTCGTTGGTGCTCTTGTAATATTTTCTCTACTCAGGACCACGCTGCTGCTGCAATTGCTCGTGACTCTGCCTCTGTCTTCGCCTGGAAAGGAGAAACTCTCCAGGTATACTCATATAGTCATACGGAGTAGTATCTATTACTTCATCAATGGCGACTTTCGGATCGGGGAGACAAAAACATTTGATTTTCGGTCACAGACATCATTACTTTTTTTTTTAGTACTTTGAGGCCGTTGGAGGATAAAGTCACAGACTTCATTATTTTACTACTTTAAAACATATAAAATGCAGATGGAGTTAAGGAGGAAAGAGAACTTTTAGCACATAAGCTAAGTAACACATACCTTCTCGATTGTGTTATAAGATATGTTATTAAAGGGAAATGCGAGTATGTTAACCTCAATATTAAAGAGTTTCGAAATATATAAAGGCATCGAGGTGCATTTTTGGGGCTAATCCAAATGCAAAACCGTGAAAAGCATAATATGAAATGGAATAGGATGAGCGCGCATTTAGTTACTCCATATAGAGTAAGTGACCATGCATTTTTGATCATACACTTACTTTTCTCTCAAAAAGAGCCAGTCACCATGTTATATACTACTAATTAATACCATAATTTATTTTTAAAAATGCTTGAAAAAAGTTCCAACTTAAATGAAACTCCGTCCACTCCTTAAATATACTCATAAGTCATAATATATAGTTTCATATAAAATGGAAAAAGAGTAAAAGTTTATCCAAAAGGAACCTCAAGAAATCAGTTAATACATGAATGCAGGAGTACTGGTGGTGTACTGAAAGGGCACTGGACTGGGGTTCGGATGGAGGGCCCAACTTGATCGTGGATGATGATGGGGACGCTACACTGTTGATCCACGAGGGTGTGAAAGCGGAAGAAGAGTATGAAAAGACTGGAAAGATTCCGGACCCAAGCTCAACTGACAATGCTGAGTTTCAGATTGTGTTGGGTATAATTAGGGATAGCCTGAAGGTGGATCCCAAGAAGTACCACAAGATGAAGGAGAGTTTGTTTGGAGTTTCGGAGGAGACCACCACTGGAGTGAAGAGGCTTTATCAGATGCAAGCTAATGGGTCCTTGTTGTTCCCTGCTATCAATGTCAATGATTCTGTTACCAAAAGCAAGGTACCACCACATTGCAATATTTCTTTTTTCATCTGCGTTTGAGGTCTGATGCTGGATTTCTTGGATGGGTTTGTTCGCTTCTACTGCATTAGCTAAACTATGTAAATACTCCTTGCGTTGTATCATTTTCTTCTAATGATTTTGTGGAGTCTCTGTTAAGGTGTTAAGCTGCCCGGTCTGAAAAGATCCCTTTTTGCTATAATTAGTTGGTGTATCAAAGATTGCATTCCTTTTGTAGAGCTTTGCTTTTTATTGTTTTTTTTTGTTGTGATTCGATTAATTTCGAAAAGAAAATAAGGCCAGCATTAATAACCGTTGGATGAGAATGCTTGAAATCTGACATAGCTTGTCCTGTACTTAAGTTTAATAGTTATATTTCATCTCTTGATATTTAGATCATTTGAATGATCTATGCTTAGGTAGATCTTTGGATGATTTATGAAGAAATACTGCTTGGACTTTAGTAAAAATAAAGCTCCCATTCGATGATTCGTTTAACACATTTTTCTTGTTGCATCGACTAACGCATTGTTCTTGTACTACTGGTTAGCACGTTGTTCTAGTTCCTTGTAGAGTTGCTCTCTACAAAATTAAATGTATGAGTTTTCAATTGTCAGTAGTTTTCTGAGAGGTGTAGGATGGGTATAATTACGGAATTTTGATAAGTCATTGCAGCAATAGAACTTCGTTACAGAGGAAAACATTCTATGCTCGTTTGTGCATTATGTATGGAGCTTGACTAGTAATAGTGGTCTCAGGGGCTCATGTATCCGATGGAAACGCTTTTTTCCCCTTATTTCTTTTATGTTTATTGAGGTTTCAAGTATTTTTTGTTTGGGGTGTA